ACAGCCCGCCCAGGCACCCCTGGCACCATCTCCGAGGGACAGACCTGTCAGACCACCACACGTGGGACAACCAGATGATGGCCTGTGCGGGGAGAGTTGATCTGCCACTAGCACTGGTCCTGTATCCCACCTCTCTCCCGCCTCCCAGACTCTGGCTGGCAGCACCGTCCCGTGCTCTCACCTCACCCTGGTTCTCGACAGAGCCCTGGCCCTTGCTGTTGGAGAGCTGCTGGATGCAGTTGTTGACAGCAATGCTGCTTTTGCCAGGTGCCAGGTCCTCCTCGGGGATCTCCACCCAGCCCAGCGAGCGCACAGCAAAGCACTGACAGAGACACACGGCGCTTCAGACACCTCCACACCCTCGTCATGCCAGCGGGGTCACCCCTCCCCTGCCAGCTGCTGCCTGTCCCCTCCTCTGCCAGCCCCAGCCTGGGTGAGGTACCTTGGAGCCGGGCTCTGTGCTCTGAAAGTCATCTCCATGCCAGGGCAGCGAAGTCCTGCAGGGGAACAGGGCGGTGAGGGGATGGCTCCCATTCAGCAGCACAGGCTTGGGGCACACGGGGAGGTGCTGGGATGGCCTGGCATCAGCGGATCCCCATGCTGCCAGCTGAGAAGCTTCCCATGGAGGTGACCACCAGCATGGTCTTGCCAGCTGCAACATGTGGGGCTGCTCTGGTGGGATCACTGGGGCCTGGAGCCCAGCAGTGGTCAAGGGTCAGCCTTACCTCCGGGACAGTGAGGCCATGGGGCTGGGAATGGGCCTGTCCTTTGCCGAGTGCTTTGCCATGGGGACATGGTAGTCCTGGGAGAGAAGAGGGAAAAGGTGAGGGCAGCAAGAGAGGCTGCTGGGAGGCACTGGGTAGGAGCCCTCCCTCCCTTTGCACCTCAGCTTGTGGACATCCCATTTAGACGGGATTAGGCCAACATGGGGCCTGCTGGATGCTTTCAAGGGGCTTAACCCTGGCCAGGAACGGGCTGAGCAGAGCTTTGGGGTGACAAAGACAGGTCTGCTCCAAGGAGAGGCTGGACTAGCAATGCCCAGCTAGTCCAGAGGTCTATCTGCCCCAGAGTCCTGGCTAGATGAAGAGGGCCCTAGATGTGAGGGCCCTTCAACAGGCTTCTGCTAGGGGGTGGGATCCAACACCAGGCCTCAGTCCCCCGCACATCCCCTACCATTCCCTGGGCTGTCTCCTCTCCATCAGCCTCCGGGCGCCCTGCAGGGCCAGTGGTGCGTGCTGGGTGCTGCCACTGTGTCGTGCCGGTCGGCACATGCCAGTAGTAGGTGCCCAGAGAGTCACAGATTTTCCTCCAGCCTGGGGGGAGGTCGGGGTCTGTCTCCAGGCTCTGGTCACTCCAGAGGTTGTCTGTGCAGAGGGAGAGCATGAGGAGAGGTGGGGGTAGAGGAGGTTCTCCAGCTGCAGGGTGCCCTGAGAAGTGAGCAGCTTCACCCAGCAGCAAAAGGGTCCTGGGGTGGGTGCACGGCCTGGGATGGAAGCGTGGCAGGGAAAGGCTTGGCATGACGCTAGGGGGGCTGCAGTAGTGGTGGACCCCAAGCAAGGGATCAGTGCAGGCAGCTGCCTCATTGGTGCCCCAGGGGATGGGTGACCCAGCAGAGGCACAGAGTGTACAGCCAGCCTGCTCGTGCCAGGACGGGCACGCTGCAGGGCTGCCAGCCCGGTGCTCCCCCTGCCAGCATGCAACACCAGCCCTCTGCCAACACCCCAGGGTGCCCGAGACCGGCTTCTTCCCGTTTTGGCTGGGGAAAGGGGCTGGGGACAGACCGCTGAGGTCTGGAGGAGGAAAGCACCTTGAAGGGTCGGCAGCTAGGACATAGACTCACCCCGTCCCCAGTGCACCCCAGGGCCTGGTGAGGTCACTCAATGAGCCCGTGGTGCAGCGCAGCAGCGAGCTGTGCCTTGGGAACGCAGCCCCGCATCCGCAGGGCTCAGCGCACCCCCGGGGGGGCCGGGGCCGAGCGATGTGCGGGGCTCCCGCTCGCTTCACGGGATGGGGCTGGGGGGGCCCCGCGACCTTGGGAGGGCCGGGGAGTGCGGCCCCAGCGCAGGCCGCCGCGGGCCCGTTTAGCACCGCGGACAGCGGCGGGCGCGGCCCCGCATCCCGCACCCCGGCTCCGCACCGCACCCCGGCTCCGCACGGCACCGCACCCCGATGTCCGCACCCCGGAGCCCGCACCGCGGAGACCGCGCCCCGGCTCCGCACCGCACCGCGGAACCTGCACCCCGGCCCCGCACCGCACTCCCGCAGCCCAGCCCCGGAGCCCGCTGACCGTCGCAGTTGACGAGGACGATGGCCAGCATGTAGTCCTTGCCCAGCATGGCCCCGGCGCGGCCCCCCCCGGCCCCGCCGCCTGCCCAGGCCCGGACCCAGCGGCGGCTGCGGCGGGAGGGGCGGGTCCGGGGCGGGGCTGCCCGGGCGCGGAGGGACCGGGGCCGGGGGGGGCTGGACAGGGGCTGGGGCCTTCGGTGCAGAAAATGGGGCACGGGAGTGGGGAAGGGGCACTGGGGGCAGGGAAGGACTCGCTGCAGTAGCAGGTCCGGGGCAGCCCCTCTTGCCCTTCAGCTCGTTCCCTTCCCCTCCACACACCCTTAGGTTTCCTCCATTCCCCTCCCTTTCCCCACAGATCACCGTTATCCATGCTTATTCCATGTTCAGTCTCTTCCAGGCGTGCTCAGGTCCTCTCGTTTCGTTGTGGCTCAACCTCCTTCAGTCGATACTGGAGACACCTAGATGTGTATGATGGTCATCTTCCCTTCCTCACTAGAGGCCGAAGCTTTGCATCTCTAGTGTTTTCTATGCTACCCTAAGCTGACAATCCTGGTGGATGCTGAGTGCCCGGGGACAGAAGCTCTAGAGACATTTGTTGTATGTCTCAATACCCCCTTGGAGTCTCTGCCACGTACTGCTGGGGACAAAATCTTCCTTAGCTACAGGTGCCATAATCCAAGATGGTTTGCTACCTGTGATATATCCAGATACTCCATTGTGTCCCGTTAAGCTTTTCACCTTCAGAGCCAGAAGCTAGTATGGTCCTGGATGTAGACTATGTCCTTAAGAGCCCCCCATGCCACCTCAAGCTGCCCTGCTTCTTTCCATGCACAGCTGTCCACAGAGTTTGCAATTTTTGGAAGTGCCAATGACTTTTCCATGGCTGTTCCTTTGCTTTCAGCAAAGCATTGCCTCTTTGCTTGGCCTCATTCATGTGCTCCATGGCCTAACATGCCCCAATTTTGTGAGGTACTTTGTCCTCCTACCTGCATTTTAACCTTGAACACATCTGCTGGTCTAAGAAAAGCACCGGCTGCTTAACTCATCTTTGCAGTCACCCACAATCATTCCTGCATCCTCTGTTGGCATCTGCTTTTTTGGCTACAAACTATTCTGCATCAATCCACTTTGTCTTAGGGACATGTTTTGCCTAGCCCTCACCCAGCTCACAGGAGGGACATTACACAGGCCATCATCCTACCTGACCCTCAAGGCAGAAGGGTGGGCACTGGTTAGAGAGCAAAGGCTGCAGCTTCTGGGGAGGGTCTGCACCATGTACCCCAGCCATGGACAGTGCCTCTACCGAAGGAGAGCACTGCAGGGGGGGGCTGAAGGCAGACCTGGGGCTGCAGGACATGCCCAGACCTTCTCCTGGGGCAGGGACAGGCATCAGATCTGCCTGCAGACCATGTGCCCAGCGGTAGGACCTGCTGCAGCGGATGCAGAGCTGCAGGAGGTGGTGCAAGTTGTGGACCATCAGGGAGGACAAGGAGATAAGACACTTGGTTCCAGGCACAGTCTGCAGTGGAGCCACAGCCAAAACCTCCCCCAAGGAGCACAGAGAGAAGGGAGGAGGGGGAATAACGCAGGGGAACAGAAGCCTGCAACACCAGGACCCGCAGTTGGAAGCGACATTCCCTGAAGCTAGAGGTGCCCTTGCAGAACCGCTTTGCAGCTCTGCAGACTGATGATGAAGGACCCGTCAGCAGCAGAGACGCTGGAGGTGGGTACAGCAGCCCAGCCTGCTCCCCTCCCTGTGTAACAGCTACAGCTAGGAAGAGGCAATGGGTGATAATAGCAGGGGACTCTTCCGAGAGGTGCAGAGGCAGCCATCTGCAGGCCTGATGTGCTGTGCTGCCAGCTGGGGCTCACAGTAGGGATGTCACAGACTACCGAGCCTTGTACCAGCCACTCACCGTTACCCATGGCTGTTGTTTCATGTGAGCACCCCAGACAGAGCCAGGAGCAGCGTGAGGACTATAGGACGGGGTTGGAAAAGCCCTGTCAAATATGCTCAATGAATGAATGTCTACGGGACTGGTGCCACTGCCAAGGGTTTGGCCTCTTAAGACCATGAAACTTGCTTTGAAGGTCCAGATGAGCATATGCTGCCTTCCAACTGTGTATTTTATCATGTATTTTCTCACATTTTTAAAAGGGAACTGAAATTTTCAGAAGAACCACTTAAAGAATTATTTAGCTACTTCATTTTAACAAAATACTCTCTCTTTTGATATGCATGCCAAGGGAAAACAAGAACAAGCCACACAATGAAACAGCAACGAGACTGCCACCTCAGGGTTCCTGCATTGTTCTTTTTGTGGCTTTTATCACCATCTCCAATTTTTCATATTAGTTTTAAATTTACTGTGATTTTTAAAGAAAATATGCTGTCAAATTTAACAAAACCTGAGCTGCCTTCAAGTGGAGGGGATGTGCTCAGAGCCTCCCTGATTGGGCACTGAGGCCCAGGACGTTTCAGGCTCATTTCTACCTCCTGTGTACACTGATTACATCCCCAAGGCAGCAGCACAGTGAGAGAGAAACACTGATCTAATCTAATCTAACTCTGGAAATGGGTCATTGAATTAGGGAAGGGGGTAGGGCAGGAATGACTGAAAAGGGCACACAGATTTCAAGAAGAATTGGAAGAGTTGCAAATATTTCTGATTCAGAGAAACAAACCCTGATGATAAAGAAAGAATCAACAACAGTTTCTCATGCTGGCAATATATATTTATTGTCATTTTGGAGATAGGTTACCATGTGTATATCAGGACTTCAGACTAAAAACAAATCGGGATTATGAACTCTTAGCATATGCCAGTTGGAAATTAAATGACTGAACATAAAACTGACCTTTAGAAGAGCTTCAGTTGGTCTATTTTTTGTCATCCAGCTGGTTTTTTTCCCCACTTGAGCTGAACATCTTCCCCTCTCCCTCATGTCAACCTCAGAAAAATAAACAATCACCCAAATGCATCTTTTTCTTGTTTTACCATCAGTCCACTGGCAATCTCAGAATACTGCTGATTCTACAACTTCAGAAGGAGGCGAACCTGATTCCACTTTACCTGGCTCCTGAGTCCAACTTTAATGACTGGACTTCAAGATTTGCTTACAATGAGACTATTGTGGTTACATTATTATGCTGCAAACCTTCAGTATACATGCTTTGCTGTCCCAGAACAAGCTACATCAGTGCAAGATCTGACAGTCTGTGCAAAGAAGCTGCAGTGCTATAAACTCTTAAATACCTTTCTCCTCCGTGCCACATGTGCTAACAAACATCTTCCACTGATTCCAACAATCCCAAATACAGCAAAAAACAAAAACAAGAGAAAGATGAGGCTTTTTCATGCTTTTATACAAAAAAATCCCCCCCCCCCCCTAAAAATCCCCCAGCCCCCAAAAGAACAGGTCAAAACTATTTGCTCCCTACCCTCCCACCTGCTTCTAGCTTTTATATGTCACCATTAAAACAAATGCATACAACTTACTGTACAAATATGAAGCTGCGGGCATTCAAGTTACAGACCATTCCGAAAATAGTTCAAGCATAGAAAGTCCACTTGAAAATTGCAAAAATAAAGTTTCACTTTTTTTAGAAAACAGTTTGATCAGAGCTGAAGCAAAACGAACATTGACCCATTCTTACTTCAGTTTCACTTCAGAAGAACGCCACCTTCAGGAGTTAAAAACAAAACCCTTAGATTGGTGGTGGTAACCGACCACGTCTTTTAATGAAGAGAAATGGTATATACAACAATGGCACAGACCTTAAGCATTAACCACAGATTTCAGCCAAAAGTAAGTCTACAAGTGAGCTGAGTCATTCTTAGCATCAAATGGTACTGATTGACAAGAACCATAATCTGCCGGGAACAGACATTAACTTAGACTGGTACGAATGGAAAGAAAGATCCAGGACATCAAATAGGCTCAGTTTTTGTCACTGAACGTTTTTTAGGCTAACGACTTCACTAGTGCAAGACCATTTGTTTACCTGATTAAATGAAAACTCATAAATGTCACAATTTAAGAACACTCATACAAAACTATGTTTTTTTTTCTTTTAAAAAAGTGCCACATACCATACTTTTACTAAAAAAGTTACAAACTAATGGAAGACTGTCTGCCTCCATCTCTTGTCAATGAGGAAAGGCCAAAGAGATTCCTTGATCCCTGCTCGAAATGGTGTTCTCTGGCCTATCCCCAGCATCTCCAACTTGGAGCAGTCCAGCTGAGCGTTCCTCGGACGGAGAGCACCCACAACTGGACAATCAGTAATCTAAAAAACAAACAGGAAAACCCCCAACACACCAACATGTAATCAGAGATGACAGGAAAACATTCTTATATGTGCTCACTTACTTAGAAATTATCCTTCATAGCTTTCTATGCACGCACATTCCCTCCTCCCTTCAAACTGTTTTTTGTCTTGTTTTGGGAGGGGGGTGTGCATGTACCTGCTTGTCTGTTTTACGGTTAACTTATTTCAACATAAGACATGTCAGGCAGAGCGACCTGAAGTATCCCAAGGTAAATTTCTCTCACTTGATTACTGCTTGCCATTTATGTTTTTCCATACTTTATTCCTATTTTCATCCTATTACTATAATCACAAGGTTAAAAATTCTCTAAAATGTTGACAGAACCATGCCTTGATCAATATACCTGAAGGGAAATTGATCTGCGCAGAAATAAATCAATCTTTTTCTCTCCATCTTCCAAGCAACATTTCAGTTCCAGCCTTTACTGATTGAGAATATTTGGAATTTATTTTGGATATAAATAAAACCTTGCTTACAGGTTATTCTTACAACATTATCAGTATGTCATTAAGAGCAGTCTTACTTTTAAGTGTCAGTAAAACTGCAGGACAGGCATTTTAAGCAAAGCATAAATGATCTGAAGTTCTTAAGTGCACGTATTCAGAAATAAATCTGGACATTGACAAGTTCTTATAGATTCCTACCTTTGAGTTAATGTTCTGCCAATCCGTAAGCTTTTTTAAGGACAAAAATTCAACAAAAAATACGGACTTACTCATGCCTAAGGGAACTGTTGTGCAGAAGTATCATTATACTACACTGCAAAACTGGTTACTGACTGACTGGGTCATCAGCAATAGACCCGCTGTGCCAGGCATACTCACACAATCACCCTGAACAGAAAGTTTATTTGTATAGCGAGCAGGACCCACTACTGGAAACCATAAAACATCCGTCTTCCTACACGCTGAACAACACATCACTTACCGGTCTCAAATGGCTGCTGGGAAGGTTGAAAGCATCTGCAATGGCACACGCCATTTCATACTTAGTCATCTGTTCATTGCCAGACCAGTGAAACGTGCCTCTTATCGATGGGTCCTACAGAAGAGACAGAACACAGAGGTGAAAAGCAGCAGCCAGACAGCCCTCAGTGCAAGAGTTGTGAAGAACAATCTTCCAGCAAATCCTATCCTAAAAGCATATTACTACATCTCATGTTCTAGAAACATCTTGAGCATTTTGAGAGAACACTCGGGTAGGGACTGAGACCGAGTACTGGTGTTACATGTATCTGGCCTGATTTTTCACAAGCAGCTTATATTCTGTAGAATTATTACCAGGAGAGGAAGGAGCGAGCCAACCAACCAACCAAGGCCAAACAGCTGGGAAGGAGAAACTCGGCTCTTCTATACTAGTCACTTACCCCAAAACAAATGCAAAAGGCACCACACATTCTGAATGAGAAACTGCAAACCATATACAAGTCCTTTCAAACAAACCAACTGCACCACATTTACTATATATGCATGGTCCATTTTCTACCAAGCTAAATAAAGGTGATTTCGTTATCTTGCAAAGATGGTAACCTGAAGATGATGTGATGAATAAACACAAGCAAGTATTTAAGTCCAGTGGCTTGGTTTTGCCACTTCAGTGTTCTTAATACAGTAAAAACAAGGGCATCTTTGAGAATGACATTCAATCACCATGGGCTTTTTTTAGTTCAAAATGGCAATTTGTAAAAGGCCTGCTTCAGAAAGTCAGTATTTGCACTTCTCCCCTTCAGACTAGAACACACATGACAATTTGCAGAAGGTTCTATCCAATCACTTCCCTCACTTTTGTTTCAAGTATCCACATGCTGCCATGTAAGGATACTGCAGACTACAGCTAGTTCTTCCTTCCCTCCAGGTATTCCAGAAATGCAATGAATAATGCAGGTTATAGGCGGTTCTCAGTTGTTCTGAAACAAAGCCAAGAACTCAAATCTATTTTACCTTAAAGGGGCTTGTTTCTTTATAGTCTTACCAGCATTCTCTTCTCTGCTAGCTGTCTGCAAACACTTGCTACATCCTTGACGTTAGTAGGAAATCTTTGCTGCCAGTGGTCCATATTGGCAGACTTATTACTGAACTGCACTTTATCAAACATAACAGTCACAGCACTTTCCTCCAGCCTTTCCACCTCTCCATACAAGACAGGAATCCTAAGTACTGCAGCACCTAAAAGAAAGAATATTTCAAAATTAGTAACATTGCTATGAATGAATATGAATGCTGTAGTGTAACCTGAAAAGTGTTACAGAAGTGTTAAGAAATATGCTGGTGATATTAAGCATCTACAAATCACAAAAAAAATTGTAATTAATATATTTGCCCTCAGAATATCATTTTAATTTGTATCAATTGAAAGTTTATAAACACTGAGTTTATATAAACTTGTTTTGAGTTCTGCTGTTGATTGCCAGAAAGCCAACAAGCTTTTATTAACACCACAAGAGAAAAAAGATCTATCTGGGTTAGAGCAATGATTACAAACAATGATTACAAAGATAACAACTGAGCTATGCAGTTACTACAGCACTCCCCCTCCTCCCTGGGTAAGAGCATTCACAAAAATTCCCACCAAGCATCATATTCAGGTGTCAATTACAGACAAAGATTTTTTGCCCAGCATGCAGAAGCCTGCATCAAGGAGGATATTATTTACCAGGAAAAAAAGACATGAACCTTAGCATAAATTAAGCACTTGACAAATAAGAAACAGGTTCACAGAATACGGTAGTGAACAATATCCAATTTCAAGATAGTGATTTGAGAAATTAACAGCAAGCAAGTGCAAAGAGAAAGATATTTTATGATGGAATACATCATACTAGTCTACCTCAGTCACGAAGACTCAAAAGGCTTCTCTGAGGGGAAATGCAAGAAGGCTATGACAAATGCATTAAAAGTAACACAGATATTTTGGCTTGAAGAAAAACAAAACAAAACAAAGTCAGTCCAGAAGTTTGAAGAAGTCACCAAATCACTGCAATTCCTACAGATTTGTAGGAAAATGCTATAGCCATTAGAAAGACAAAAAGAAAAAGCTAACACACAAATTATTCTCACAGAAAAGTAATCAGAAAGAAGTACCTATATAAGAAAAACAAATACAATTAAACCCCCCAGTATGATACCAATTTCCTGCTGCTCTAAAAACTGTTTGGTTGCTCAGCAAATATATTCTTCTTCTCTCTAAATACTGGTTGAAAGCTCTTATTTTTAATCTCTTTAGAAGTATTCAGTATTTGAGAAAGACAACACCACCATTCTAGAGAGCTCTCTGTGACTTGGAGAGCATTAGCTTCATTACCAATGGTTCTGATGACCCACTGAAACTTCATTGCTTTATAAGCATCAGTACTACATATAACTTACATCCCTTCCTAACCAAAGTAAAACAAATTTAAAAAAGAATATGCAAACCCCCAAATTATTTGTGGAGATTTCTTGCACCATACAACAGAAATGGATATGGAAATTCTTCACGCAACAATAGGCATCTGATAAACTGAATTCTACCTATACAATATTAGCAAATAAGTGGTTGGAAGCCTTAATACATGTAACATATTTATATTTGTATCAACAGTAGAATTTACATTTTCAAGCACCTTGCTCATTACCATCTCAAAATTCCTTCTGCTAATGATACCACTGCTGCAACCCACTACTGCCTGACAGATCATGCTCAAAAGGTTTTGAAACACAACTGAACTGCTAAGTTGGGTTTGGGATCTGGCAAGATAGCCACACATACTTGAATGTGGTGCAGTCTTATCTTCATTACCAATCTAGAAGAGGGAGCAAACAGCATCACAGTCAAATTCAGAAATGATATTCTGGAAACAGCTGGGATGAACAACTTTCTATTTTTACTTAAATAGGGCTTTTCCTATCAAAATGTTTTTTAGAAAGTCTATTTTTCAGCAGTAATGACAAAGCTATACTAAGGCCCATCATTTTCCAATACAGTGCATATTTACTTACTGATAGACCATCGCACTGATTTATCAATTGTTCCATTCTCTGCTTAGGCAGAAGAGAATCACAGTTATAATACTGACATATTGGAAGCCTCTTCTGAAAGTGCACTGAGATTGTTTTCTTCAAATTCTTTGAGAAAATACAAGTGCTTCTTTCCTTAGAATCTGTGAATGGAAACTGTCAGCATACTAACAAGAAACAGCCAAACCTCTGTTTCAGACAAGAAATGAGTTTTTAAATGCAAGGGAACATGATCGGTCACAAGCCTTTTTCCCCTTATAAGGTAGAAGTTTTAAAATTATGTTTGCGTATTTTGAATGCCAATTTTCATTGAGAAAAGACTTAAACAACAAATAAATATTCTGCTTAAAACAAGAAATATGTTACTAACTCTTTAGAAAGTGCTACAATCAGGAATCTGATGTGCATGGTGAGGTAGGTGGGTAAAACCAAAATAGATGGCCTGATGGCTTACTTAGGAGAGCAAACCAGGAGATCAGCAAGAAAACCAAGAGCCTGCAACAAAGGCCTATGTTAATATTATCTGCATTATTACTGAATCACAAGTCCATTTTCCCCTTTAAGTAAAGGTACGTTTAGAACAACTGTAGTGCATCTCCTCAAGTAACAGCAGCTGTATACAAAGCATGGTAAAGCTTGTGCCATTACAATACACTGATGATGTATTTTATTCTTCCTTTAGCGTAACTGATTCACAGCAGACAACGGCTTGTGAACATCCATCAGCAGAGACTAGTAACACAAATGATGATCAGAACAAGTAAGAAATGAAGCTTTAGTTGACCTGTAAGCAATAGGAATGGTTCACAAGCAAGGAGAACGTCTCTTGATCATATTATTTTCTAAATTTTGTTTTCATGGTTTTGCAATTTTACCACTGACTTACGAGTCTACTAAGCTAATACACAACTAACTAAAACCAGAAAGCCTGTATTCAAAATGTGAGTGTATTCTTACCTTCATTATTTTCCAGGACTACCTTTTCACCCTCCAGTTTGGTTTTACCATATAAATTCAGGGGATTTGGTATGTCAGTCTCTTTATAAGGAGGATTTGTTCCATCAAACACGTAGTCTGTACTAATGTAGATCAGAAATGCTCCAACTCCAGCTAGGAAGAAAATGTTTATACAGTCTGTTTTAATCCATGCTTTGTCTGAAATCCCAATAAACCTTCAAACAAATCTCTGAAGGACCTCATCTTCTTCTAGCCCCACTCATTCCTGCTGCTTTGTCTGTTCACTGATCCTCAAAACAGACACACATGCTACCCTTATAGAAAACAGGTTGACAGCACAGTGATTTCAAAAGTGACATTAGCACTTGGAATAACTTACTCCTATTTATGTCCCTGTATAAATAAATGCAGCATTTTAACAAGAAACCGAATACATCAGATGGTCTCCTTACCTGCCTCTTTTGCTAAGTTCCCTGAAGCAGCCACATTGAGCTGAGAAGCAGCTTCTGGTTGATTTTCTACAACATCTGGCCTTCTCTCAGCAGCACAGTGCACTATAACATGAGGCTGGAAATTAAAGACTAATTTTAAACAACAAACATCATCAAGAGATTGCAGCTGTACCCTAGCTCTAGCCATGAACTCCCTCAGGCAAAGAGGCATTTCACTAAGTTGTGAGAAGTAAGAAAAGCAGTAGAATTATTTGTAAGCGTGGTGTGCTCAGAAGCATGCTTTCCTTGGGAAGTAAAACTAAACCATGCTGCTTTTAGATGCCAAAAAAAAAGATCACTAATTTTGCAACTGTGATCTTCAGTACCTTCAATGTTACAGCAAGACTGAAGTTGCTGGTTGTTTTTTTTTCTTTAACTCTCTACAATAATGTAAAATATTATGATAACATGTATCTCACACACACATAACTGCACTCAAAATTTCTAGATAAGCCATTTCCACATGGCTTATTTGACATAAGCAGACCAACAATATTTAAAGACATTTTATAGAATGGCACCCTGCATAATGCATTTCAGGTTCCTCTTGCAAGTCAGTTTTCAGTAAAAACTGAACATCTTCCTGCATTACACACTGGACAAAGAGTTACTGCTGTTGTATTCAAGTGTTCTTCAACAGAACTGCTTCATATTACTCTGTCAATAACTAACGGTTATCTTTTCTTTCAAATACAAATGCAAGTGTGCCAACGCATCTGTCTGTTACCTGTCTCTGGTGATGACAGCAGAGTTTAGAACTGTCTGTATGTGCAGAGCAAACTGACCTTCAGATGCGGCAGAAAAGGCAGCCACACATCTTTCACCAGAGCCTTGCCTCACTATAGCCACATAAACTCAGTATCAGAAAAGCACTGTCAACTGACTACTAGATGTATAAATGTAACCTAACCATCTACTTCACACTCCAGGAACTTACCTGAAAATCATGGATAATGTCATGAACTGCAACAGAGTCCAGAAGATTTATCTGTTCAAATCTGGGCTGAGCTCTCCTGTATCCGCAGCCAACTGCATTCCAATTATTTTCATTGAATTCTTTAAACACAGCTCTGCCAAGAAGTCCTGTAGCACCAGTAATGAGAGCTCGCCTACTGGGAATATCAACATCTTCCTAGGGAAACAAGAACAGGAAGAGTTTTCTTTCTACTGTTATTTAGAACTATGTTTTCTTTAAAAGTATGCAAGGCTACAGCCAGAGCTACTGCATTAAGCAGCTTCCCTGGCCACATGAATGTTTTGGAATGTCTCATGGAACACAAACAACTGGGAGCACAGAGATTGTACCTAGTCAAGTATTTAAACGTATTTTTTAAGGTAGTGAAAGCAAAACTTAAATGGGAAACTCATTTACTTCTATAACAGGAGGGGAAACCAAACTGAACTACTAATGAAGACAGAATTTTAAGTTCATTCAAAAACTGGTAACTTTGTGCAATTTGAAATGAGGGAAATAACTTCTTTAGAACATGGACCCAAAATATGCAACATTTAGGGTCCATGTCCTGCAACAAGTAATTTTGGACAGACTGTGCCTGTTAGAGGCTGCAGCAAATACCATACAGCTCCCTGTGGGCCTACCTACAATGACTCTTAGGAATGAAAACTTGAATTTTATTATTAAATAGTAATTCACTGGCATTTAACACGTCTAATAATAAGTAAAAACAAGATACAGGTCTCCTCTCAGTTTTACAAAAAGCATTGAAAGTGATTGATAGTTTAAACTTTCCATTTATACAACATCCTAAAGCTTCTCCAGCTCTGGCATATTTCAGTACTCGAGACTGTTGTGTACATCAGTGCACATAAAGTTCCTTCCTCTCTACCACTCACTGGACCATGAAGTTTTCAAGACAGGAAACCCAAGGTTAATGTCTGTCTGAGCAACCCATTTTCCTTTTATGCTTTACTTCTGAAGGTAGCATAAACAAGCCCAAAAGCGTAGAGTTACATGCCAGTACAGACCAAAACTGTGGGTGTGCAGAATCCACACATCTGGGATTTCCTGACTCCTTTATGCACAAGGACCATCTGTGATAACTGACTGTAACTTTGTACATGCTCTCTACTATGTGATTCAAATAGCCCTGTCACTACTGTGCATTCTTACATTTTCATCATTGTGACAGACCAGCTTATTGATTGCAGCACAGGAAATAACAGAAATTGATTCCAAATTACCATCTTTTCCCCTTAAAGTTCTAGAATCACAGGCTGTTTTGTGTTGGAAAGGACCTTAAAGCTCATCCAGTTCCATCCCCTGCCACGGGCAGGGACACCTTCCATTAGAGCAGCTTGCTCCAAGCCCTTGTGTCCAACCTGGCCTTGAACACTGCCAGGGATGGGGCAGCCACAGCTTCTCTGGGCGCCCTGTGCCAGCACCTCAGCACCCTCACAGGGAAGAGCTTCTGCCTAAGAGCTTATCTCAATCTATACTATAAAGTTAAAAAACTTATTCCATAAGAGCATATGCCAAGGCACTGACAGTTCCCAGCACAGCATGTGCATCTTCCTCCATTCTAAACCTTCAAGTGAAGGAAGACTTACTCCCTCAAGTACCAGGTGAACTGACATCCTGACAGTTTCTTTAAGGCAACAAACTACAGCAAATTATGTTTATGATTTTTAAGGCTGCCCATGCTCTCTAAAATGCATAAGCAAGAACACTCAGTGTTCTGATGTACTTTTTATCTTTGCAAGGCCTGGACAGAGCCCCACAGGACAGATTTACCAGCACTTCTAGAGCTAATAAACATCAAAGCTTTGTGGCAGGAAAGCCAGTTCTCTAAAAATGTGACAGAATGTCTTTAATAAGTAGGAAGCGATAAACACAAAAACTTGTGTCATTTCTAAGCTGTGGCATTTTTAAGCATCATTAAGATTTGTTTATTCTATGTAGCATAAAGAGGATATTACACGAGCAGCACAGCCTAAACTGAATACAACAGTCACAACCAGGTTTAGTACTGTCTGCATCCCGTTGTTGTCTGTTGTTCCAAGTCCCTTGTTTTCACAAGGTTATTAGCAGGCATTTCCCATAAACTCAACACCAACCACCAGTTTTTAATGCAGTTAAAGGTTCTAGTAAAACAAAACCTGCAAAGATTAACTCTTTTCCTATATGCTGCCTTGCTCCTTTGCAGAATATCACTGAGCTGCAACAGGCTTTCTGCCTAGGAACTGCAGGAGCAGACCTTCGAGTCCAAAGGACCTTGAAGGCTTGGTGTGCCCAAACATCCCAGAATTCAAATGTCACCCTTTTGCCTGCAAATTCTGTAGCCTTAAATGCAAGTTACTATCAGACTAGCCCATCTGCTAACAGGTTTTTTCTGCGTGCTTCTCAATTATGAAGCAATCATACCCAGAGTCATCAAATGTGCACAAAGTTGTCTTAACAACTAATTTTAAATAATACTACTTAAATGCACCATTTTAAGCTTTATGATAAAGTGTACGATTTCTATCTGATGCTCACTGCTCACTAGGAATTAATATAATAAAAGAGAACTGCACTCAGCAGCCTCATTCACATAGAAATATCCAAGATAAGATTAAAAAGTAGCATTTGGGAGACCTAGAAGTAGTTTTAGACGCTATTAAAAGTGTAATCAAAAACCACAGTAAGACGCAAGGTATTTCAAGGTGTAAAACCAAACTACAAGTACTTTATAGGCTTCACATAAAAATCAACTCAGACATATCCATGCTAAGGAAGGGGCCGCCGGGCTCACGCAGGTTAGCACACGAGGTGAGGACCGGGAGGACGCGGCATCAGACGGGACGGGAGCACCGGCGGGCCGCTCCTTGCCGCAGGCTGTACCTGCTCAAAGGCTCTGACACGGAACGGGCCCGTGGGCACCGGACAGCTCCAGCAGCGCGACCAGGCAGGGCCGCAGCGCAGTGCCCAAACCGCCGCCACGGAGGCAACGCAGCGATGGCGGAATGAGGCACCGAGGGTCCCGATCCCGGAGCTCGCGGCAGCCCCGACGGAAGGGCACAGCCCAGCCACCAGCGGGAGCCGCCGGCCGCACTTCCCCTCGCAGCCAGCACTCCGCGGGCAGTCGGAGCCGCCACAGCCCTTCCCCAACACGCCGCGGCGCCTCCTCCGGCCCCGCAGGGGAGGCCCGTCCGCGGTGCGCTCCGCGGCCCTGCGAAGGGAGGTCCGTGCGGGGCGGCCCAGCCCGCCCGGGAGCCGGCAGCCGCGGCGCACCCGGAGAATAGGGCGCCGTGGGCTCCCGCCGCTCACCTCCACCAGCTCGCAGCGGCCCGGTGCGAAGCGGATCTTGAGCTCCTTCTCCCGGCCGACCATGGCGGGGCCCGCCCGGCCCGGGGCCTGCTCCTGCTGCTGCTCGGCGGGGCGCTGCGGGAGGGCGGACGTGCCGTGCGCCGCGCAGCAGGGCGAGCCCTCATTGGGCAGCGGCGGCGACACGAAGCTCCCGCCTCCGCGAGCTCAATGGCTGAGGAGCGCCAAAGGGGAGGGGCCGTGGCGGGGGTTTAAAGGGGCCGAGCTGAGGGAAGGCGCAGCGGGCCCTGGGGTAGGGGCGGCCTAACCGGTGTGTGGGAGGCAAAGCGCGGCCATCGCTGCTGCGGAGGCACCGCAGAGACCAGGCCCTGGCTGGGGCAGGAAGGGAGAGCCCGCTGGAAAGCGGGAGGAAGAGGCAGAGCGGTACCGCCGTCTGACCATGACCCTGCAGCCCCGGCAGCGGCTCTGAGGGAGTTTGTGTCGAGTACATGAGCCCGTAAAGGGCTCCAGCACGGCGGCACAGCCCGCCACCCCTCAGCTACAGCTGCAGGCAGCCTGCACCCATCTCGACGGCTTAGCTGAACAGCCCAGGCAGCGATTGCTCCTTTCCCTTTCGTCCCGCGAGAGGAGACAAGGGATGGCCGTCTCAGCCCGGCCTCAGTGCGCAGCAGCTGGTGAGCAACCCCTGTGTGTGTGTGTGCGTGGCGTGCAGAGCCCGGGCTGTGCCTGCAGCTCTTGCTCAGGAGCTGTCTTCCGCCGTGTCCAACCCCAGCTCCTGCAGCAACCGCTGCTCGGTTACAGCCTTACCGTAACACCCTCGGCCTATAGAAAGCGCCAGCTTCCACTTGTGTAAAATTATCAACTCCTGCCTTTTATACAACAAAACTTCCTACTTCACGGATCCGGTTGCTAAGAGATACCATTACTACAGCAGCAACCATTTCATTTTCCTTTCAGAATGGCGGAATATCGTGCATTTTCCAATTGCCTTTATCTGTAGCTTCATATGAAAGACTGGTAAATGCCCCACGGGCGGTAGGGTTGCTTCTGCAAAAGCAATCCCTGCCTGCATTACTCATCCTACAATTCTACACTTATCAGTTTACTTTTTTACATGCAGGGTTAAAAAGTAACATGAACCTGTTCATAAAGCTTTTTACTGTGATATTCCAGCCCCACACAACGGCAAAGACCCTTTGCTCCGTATTATTTTGAACAAGCTTAAAGAAGTGGTAGCTAAGCTTTAGCTTAGCTAAGCTTTAGCTTAGCTAGGTTCACACTGAGGCCTTTACCTAAGGAATTAATTTCAGCATGACTTAAAGCAGTATTTAAGTGGCATTCAAGGGTTTCTTGAATGTTAGATTTTTCAATATTACGAAGTTAAAGAGGAATTAGAAAATTTACTAAACTGAATAGAACGATATTGTAAATGACCTTTACCTATGATAAGGACTGACATGTACAAGACATGAAGCATACATGTAGAAATCACTTCAGGCAGTTTCTGCCACCTTGGACTGCAGATGCCTTATATTCCTTGTAGTGCACTATGGACATTTAATTCCCCTTCATTAACGTTGGAACTCTTAGAAAAATACCAGTAATTTCCTCACTTGAGGAATTCCTTGAGATTCAGAAGAACCCGCAAAGCCTGAGGGAACTGCAGGGCAGCCCCGAGGTAACAGCCAGCGCTGTACCTGTGTCTCACCCTCACTGTGTGGAGCCAGGAACTTAGCCGTCCACGCTGAGAGCAAGGGGAGAGGCAAGGAAAGCTCAACACCGGGGTCTCCGGCAAGAGCCACGAGCTGGCCTGTAAAACGCCTTCACATTGTTGTCAGCAGTCTAACAGTTACAAAAACTGGGTGTAATATTATCTTCATAACAATCTAATCTACTTTTTCCTCATTTACATTGAATGCAGTAGCATTCTAGCTTATACTTCCAATGTCTTTAGCACTATATTCACTTTGTGAAACACTGTGATTGCACAGAATATATATAAATTGTATTATAGTCGATATCAGTTATTTAAGCATAATGCACCACAGGGTGATTAAATGCACCAGGCCCTTCACTTATTAACATTTCAGACTGCAATTTGCAGAGACTAAAGCACAATTCTCTGCTCCTGTCTTATTTCCCCTACGTTCTGTAATCAAAGTGCAGCAGCAATCATTTAATGCAAAGATCCATAGCCTTACCTGCTCCATTTCCACCGGCATTTCAGGCATTGCCCCAAACTACAGAAGGAATTATCAGCCTAGGAAGTTACTGCAGTTCTACTGCGCACTCCTCCCTTTGTCTGCTTTGCCTGCAGAGAGCACATGGACTGAAAAGCAGCAGTGGCTTAACTGACCTTTGAAACTGAAATGCTAATCCAGGCACTACATCACGTGTGGCTCTGAGTCCTGCTAAGCTTTTGGGCAATTCCCAGTGATACCGTTTAAGCAGCTCCATAGGGACTTAAATCTGTACTTCATAACTGCCAGCATGCGCGAGCGCAGCCATTGTGTGCATCAAATTTATTCAGAGCACCAGCAGAGAGTCTTGTGCAGTTTCCCTTTATAGGAAACAGGAGGAAGGCTCACATTAGGTCACCTGGGTTGAGGCGTCTCACAACTCTTCCTTTCACATTTAAACTCACTGCAACCCAGACCTTGCTGCAATGCAGTGAGACAGAAATAATTTAGTGTCTTTTAAATTAAAATTAAAAAGGATGTTCCACAAAACGCAAGTAGTTGATTCTTGCAGTGAATACCTCAGAGTACCTCAGCTGAGGTACCAGTATCAAGGTTTCAGCTTTTAATGGGTATTCCATACCTGCATGAAACTGGTAAACCAGTTCAAGTTGATACAAAGCACTCAAGATCTCTCCTTCAACTCTGTATTTTTCCCCAGTCTGCTCTATATTGTTTAGCTGTCTTTTAAAGCTAAATGAGAACCTGACATTGCTGTAAGGCTAGCATAATTATTTGCTGGAGTGACCTACTCTTGTCAATATAAGCATACTCTCAGCAGCTTAAAAAGGAATTAAAATGGTACTGCCAGTTAATATAGAAGGTTTTAATGAAGGCTGTATGAAAACAACTCTTAGTCATCATAAAAGCAGTCTTGTGATATACACAGTATTTTGCTTCACTGCATATACTTTTACCCTCTGCCAAACTCTTGCTAACTTAATGCAGGACATTTCAAACAGAAATCAAGGTTCAGTTAAAAAAAAAAAACACAAACAACATACTTTACCCGTTGCCATGTTGTGAGTTTTGTGGAAGCCTCCGTTAACATTCACTTGCCCTAATTTCTCTTGAAATAAAAGGCTCATTTACATTTTTAAAACTATATTGAATTAAGGATGTCTCACTTTCTGGCACAAAGGCTTTTCAGACTTCAACATTCTGATTTATGAACAGATTTTTGTCTCAAAACTCCCCATGTAAGTAGAACAGCACAGAAAGTGCACAACTTCAGCAGCCATGCATGAAATAATGCCATCTTGTGAGAACACTGTAGGAGCTGTGGTGTGTCACTTACTGCATTTTCAGTTGTTCACACGTGTCCCTTCCCACCCCCTTGCTCATCAGGCAGTTTGGTTTAACCAACTGCTCATTTCACATCCACCAACCAGCATGTAACATCAGGGTTTCCAACACAACTGTGTTCTCATCCAGTGAGACAGGCTAATGCACTTTTACTCTACAGTTTTCTTTTACTCCATCTCATCTTTCAGACAAGAGAACTTCCATACTTTTCCCCACAAGGAGAGAGAACTCCAGCATTAAATTCTTTCAGAGATCTTACTAAAATACACTTTTCAACACTTCAGGCAAGCTGCTAAATTGAACACTAAGTATTTCTCAATTCAAGCACCTTACATTAATCCTCATCCTTGCTCAAGTAATCCAGCACACACAGAACAATGGCAATAACAGATAAAACCTAGCAATTTCTTTCCCTGGACTTAATACACGTTTTTGGTACCTCATTTCCCATGTGTTATCAATCCTTTGTAAGCCCATAATGTCAGTATGAATGGCAGTATCTCCAACACATTAAGCTTTGTGTACTGCCTCACTGCACCACCCATGTGCAGGGTATTAGTAGGTACAATAGCAAGAACACAGAGTTCCACATTTCACTTGAGTGCCAGTGACTTACCTGCATATTAAGAGAAACTCACAGGAAATGAGTGGATAGGGGAATTGCAGGTTGTATGTATTGTACAGATCCACTAAATTTCTGTAGGATTGCAGATTATGCAAGTCTTTGAGCCAAGACTGACAGTTGGCTTTATTACGAAGATTTAAGACTAGAACAAAGAACATTAAGTCAATTACACTATAATTTGAGTTTTATCCTCAGTTTGTGAGGGAAATAAACAAAGTCTTTAATTTAAAATTTTTATTGTGCTGAAACATTCTTAGATTTTAGATGCAAACAGATTCTTCCCACATTGCCAAAATTCAGGTCTGTACAATAAATGTGTCTACACAGCAGGGATCCTCCCACCCCATTAAGACAAGTTCCATTGTTATTCCCCTTCAGGTAGCATTGATCAATTACAACAACTACAAATTTATGACTGTGGGATTCCAGTGAGCTCAGCATCCATGGAAGAGACATTTCTCTGAAGACACTAATCTTGGCATCAGTATACTAACATTTACCTAAATGCAGTCAATTTGAGTTTGAGCACCAAATCCTCTTCTGAAGATCAACAACAGCTGCAGTATCCAGCCCCAGGACTGAAATTAGCATGTCCTGAACACAGATCCCATTAAGAATATCAAAACTGTACAGCCCAGTTTTCTACACTGGTTCTGTATTATGTGCACCACAGAGAAGAAAGTGTCTCCTGGCAGCACTGCTGTCACTGGTATTAAAACAACCATAAATAACAAACATTATAAAACCATGAGATAGAATAAAAAAAAAAACCATAATTCGTGACACTAAATTTAATGCATCATACTTGCTCTTAAGTGCTTATTCACTCACCTCTTCTTAAGTTTCTCTGTCAAAACCAAGCTAAGCAGCTCCAGCACACAAAAACATGAATCGGTGAGTTAAAGAGCACAATGATGTTACCAGGCACCTGGAACATAAGTTACCTGTATGCTCAGGGCTTCTCAATAATAGTATAACCAAGCATATTTTTTTGAAAAATGTATAGGTTTAGACCATTTCTGTAGTACTCTCATAAAGCTGTATTATACACTGCATCCAGGTTCACCTTGAACAGTAGTCTGTTGAAGTCTTCTGTAGTACATGAGGGAATTTATTGGTGACTTACGGTATTTTTCTTGGTACCAAGAGACTAAATTTTGTTTCTATTACCTGCAATGGAAGAACATTACTAAGGCTGTGGTGGGAGCAATAGTCAAAACCCCATAGAGTAATTATTTGTAGTGCCTTCCTTCCCCCCCCCCCAGGAGACACTTCATACACCAGGCAAGCCAGAACTTCAGACCCTGGAATACACTGTAATGAAGGTCTGGTTGAGATCTCTTCCCTCCCACACTCTCCTCCACTGCTTTCCTTTGTGCCCCCTGGGCTCTTGGCATCTTTCCCTCTAACTCCACGTTCATCTGCCAGCCGTTTGCACCTACAGTAGTGTAAGGTTCTGCTGGGTAGCAGCTAAAGAGCTCCAGGCAAGCCACTGTTACCCCAGCACTTGTGCAGGAGACACTGCCCAACACCTGACTAGCGGTAACATTAAGCTGTATGACAGAAGAAAAACTGACACCACACACCACTTGCTCAGGCAGGGTTGTGAGAAACTGGGCTGAAAATCACAATAGCAAACCTGGGGCACTGGGAGTGCCCTGCTGAGGCAGGCCTCTGCCATCTGCTGTGAAACCTGAGATGCCATTCTCCTTCCTCCCCCAAAGGCAGCAGACTATGCAAGACTGTTGTACTTTCTTTGGTTAAACTTAAGAGGTACAAAGACATAGTTACATAAATATCCAAGCTTACCTTCTCTAAAAGGAGTTTTTGGAGGAATATTTTCCTTGCTATCATGCTGGAAAGCTTTAGAAGGATCAAAACGTCGAACGCCCTGAATTGCATGCACTTGCTCCTGAAGATCTCTGTTGCTTTGCTTTTCTTTGGCTAGCAATGCACGCAGTTTTGAGACATCCTAAAGAAAACATAATACTTGGAAATTAGATTGAGAACAAGGAAAAGCCTGCTTCCTCATTTACTGAAATAGACCTTCTGACTAATGCTAAACACAAACATACATACACATCATTAGTAGCATTAAAAAAAAAGAAAGACAAATATACAGGTGTTAGAGAAACCAGCACCACTGTATAACTGCTGTATAAGATCACTAAGCACTATGGTAGCCTGAAACTTTCAGGCAATGCTTTCAGTAGGTGGCTTACTAAGCCTAGAACCTCCAAAAAAGGCAAGAAAAAAAAACCAAGCTAAAAGTAGGGGTATTTACTTGCACTGGTGATCCAGAAGCATGTCATATATTCAGTCAGAACTAAAACATTTTCTCAGTGTTTCTGGAGGCTGGTGGTTTGTTCTAATCTAGCTCTTGCAAAGAATGTTATGCTCACAGAAAACAAGTAGTTTGCAGGATGAGGCTATAAATACTTAAAGCAACAAGCAAATCAAGCAAATTAATAACTTACAGATTTCTAATTTCATTTCACAGACCTGCTTTAGGTGGGCATTCTCTTCCTTCAACTTCATAACATGCTTGATTTTTTGCTTCTGGTTCTGGTGGCCAAGTAGTTTAGCATATGCATCACTTAGCTTATTCAGTTCTTCTTGGGCAGCACCATGCTCATTTAAGAGTGCATTTTTCTCTGCTTCAAACGCGTCTAGTTGTTGCTGAAATACACACTGCATCTTTCAGAAATCTTTAAAATAAACATAGCTTTTTAATGAACCAAAATCTACAAAGATAAACTGTTTTGGGAAGGGGAATAGCTAGCTCAAGGGACAGGAAACGGTTGTGAGATAAATGCCTTAGAACAGGAAATAGCTTGTCTATTTCTCAAGACTAAAACTTAAGACAGCTGCACAAGTTTTAAGTTAAGAGTTATTAATAAACATCTACTTGGTAACACACCTGAAAAGGCTTTGTCTTGTTATATAAGTCCTCATACAGATTACGCCAGGTCTTTATCTCTTCTTTTAAGCTAGAGGTCACATCTTCATTTATGGTTTTCCTAAAAAGCAAGAAGTGGAGTTTCATTATGTTCATGGTTAACTCTCAGCAGTTATTCACACTGCAGCTTTTATGTGCTCCAGTATGCATGCTTAGTTTGAGAAAAGCCACCTTGATCTTTCCATTTCGAGTTTTCTTTTCAGATCTTCCGTTTGCTTATCCAGTTTTTCCTGAAGTTTAGTCA